AAGCCGTCTCCAACCATTATTAGTCTCAAAGTGGGTTCCTCGTCATCGAATTCCAAAAATAATGTTTTGTGTCATATGTATACAAACCCATCTTTAAACATCAGTAATTGGGATTGGGTTAGTTAATAAAATATGTTTATTTTGTTGTTTGAAGATAATATAATGTCGTTCCAAGATCAACATCAGTAAGCAGCGTACTAACTAAGGAAGCTGATAGTTGTTCAAATTACCTATTAAGGAAATAATCCGAAGTTCCCGAAACTGATCAAAATGATAAAGAAGAGGAAGTAGAATAATTATTATTATCATAAAACACACACACACCTGCTTATATTAGCGTTGTTACCCCTTGCTCGATAATTACTATTATTGCAATGATACTTGTCATAATTACTGTTATTAATATTGGTACAGTGTGAGCATATCAGTTAGTTAAGTATTGTTATAAGTATTGACACAGTATTGCTACACCAATGTTTTTACTGTCTCTTAGATAAGCACTGTTGTAAAGACCGACCAATAATTGTCTTTTACAACTAGGTGAAATGTTATTCTTTTCAATGGCTATAGGCAACATTATTTCTTTGTCGATTTACAATGTTTAAGCCTATTCTTGCGATCACGTTAAGAATAAAGCTATAAATAATATAAGATTGGTTTATTTAGGATATTCTCGCAAAGCTCTACAAGAGCTATCTTCACTAACAGTTCTTACCTTTCAGTTGATATACTAGAAAGAGGGCATCTAGTCAACAGCACCAATCATCAACGCTTTGGCTACTTTAATCGAATGGTGGGGTTTGACCATTACTCTTATAACGTACCAAGACCACAAAGTACACAGAATGATTACTTTCGACAACGGAATGCAAATTATTGACCCTAGGATCCACATTCTGGCATGCTGACCACTTGGTCATGCCGGCCTAATTTAGTATGGAAATGTCTTTATGAGCATTCTTAGATGAGACTAGAAACAATGAATTTAATATTAAACTTTTTATGATCGTATTATAAGTAAAACTCAAAGTTATAACTTTATTAGTTTGTTACTCATATGGTGACATTACGAGCGAAATTATAATTAGTTAATTTAGTTAAGTTTCGAATGGTTATGAATTTGGATACGAGACTAACTTTAATTGATTTGCACCCTAATGATAATTTATTTAATGTTATTCTGTTTATGTTATGCACATATGTTATGGATCAGCACTGAAACTATAAATTACAACCATTAGTCTATGGCCATATTCTTGATTTCATTGGAATTATCATAATTATTTCCCACTAATCCTAGTAGCCAGAAATATTCAAAATACAAAACTTTCTGGCTACTTATGTAGAAGTAAATATCTATTTTCTATTTTGGTGACATTATGAAAGTTTTGTACATTGTTGCATAATTAACTCCCGTCAATTTTATTATTCTTTAGCCACAAGTAGGCTTAGTATGAGCGAATTACACGCTGGATAGTTAGTTACCCTCTGTGAAAATTTTTGTTTTGAATTTCGCA